AAAAAAAAAATCAGCCTTCAAACTCCTCTCCGTTCCTAATCTATTTTGGTACTAACATCTTCTGTTCCAGAAAATCAGTGGCAAAAAAAAAAGTTCAAGAAGGATGAAAAGGATCAACACGAGTGTTGGACTCTTCTAATTTCAACGCCTTTGCCGGAGGCCATGGGTTCTTTGACTGGATTTCTAAACACCCTTTTTATCATTCTCAAGAGTTTTAGACTCTTAACCAAGCCATGGTTTTTCTAAAACCAAATGAAAGGGTTTCTAGCTCTTGAGAACAAATCTGGAATCTTTGATTCCTATAAAAAAAAAAAAAAAAAAGTAAAAATGGCAGCATAAACCTTGGAAATTTCTGCTTTCAAAAAAAATGTAAGCAACTTTTCTAATTTCAAACTCCTAAAAAAAGTGGGATTTTCTAACTCCCAAAAAAAATCTAGAGTCTTTGACTCCCCCAAGTATTGGAGCCCTTCCAAACAACACATGAAAAACAAAACAAGGAGTGTTCGACTCATTTGGGCATAGGCTGTCATTGATCACGAAAAAAGTTTCAAACTCTTTAAACTAAACCTGAAATCTTTGACTCCTTTACATGTGATAAAAAAAGTGAGCTGAATAATAAAAAAGGGATTCAAAGACAATTGCAGCAATCAATTTGAAACAAATTACTAAAAGCAAACGGGTTGGAGAAAATCCTGCCAGCGTCAAGGAACAAGTTTTTCACTCTTTCGGATCGCCTCCAAGTTAAAAAATTAAAGGAGTTTTTGACTGCCAAATTTTAAAGGAGCTTTAACCCTACCAAAGTAGAGGAGTTTTCAACCTTACCAAAGTTCGCAACGGCACAAAAGGTTTGGGTGTGTCAAATTTTCAAAAGCATATGAAAATCGAAGTAAGAGTTTTTAACTCCTTAAGCTATATTATTCGGTCACTATTTTTGAAGTTTCAAACTTCTGCAAAAAAAAAAAAAAAAAATAGTTCAAAAATTAGTTTGAAGAGTTTCTATCTTTTACACAATCTTTGGAGTTTTAAACTCCCCAATGATTTTTATTAAAGTGTACATCACTCTAAATAGATTTTAGATACCCATGATAGATACATGCCGCAAAACCGTCAGCTCCATGTATTATAAAGAATCTCTTGGATTATTATTTTTTNCCGATTTATATATTCGAATCGAGCCCAATTCAATTCAGACACTGCCCGAATTCAATTCAGTTTAGTATTTTTCTGTCCAAACCCAATCCAATTATTAAAAATTTCAACCTAAATCCTATTTTTTATGAGTTGGGTTTAAGTTAAATTCGGTTAACCCACCCAAGTTGGACCCCTACTGCAGATGGCTTTTCGTCTGTGTGCCAGCAAGTACCACTTCCTCCACTAATGGCAGATTTTTAGTTAGTGGGTTTCCCCACATGTCCCATGCTCTTTGCTAAATAAACTACCCATGATAGATACATGCCGCAAAACCGTCAGCTCCATGTATTATAAAGAATCTCTTGGATTATTATTTTTTTTTTTTTTCTAAATGTAGGGGCTGCAGGCCTTTGTTTAGACTTCCAGCACAAAATTCCCGTTCTTCCTTGTAGTATAACTGTCACTTGGTGGGGACTGAACAACCGATGCACAATCTATCCATTTCAAACCGTCACTTTGTNCTTTTCACTTTGAATTACTTCCGACTTGATTTCATTTTTAAATACGTAGGTAGTGTCTAACATTTACATTGGACACAATTGCAATTTCAAATCAACTCTAATTAAATTTCTAAAATCTAAGAACTACAGTTGACTTGAATCTATTTCGAATACGTAGGCAGCATGGTTAAACTAGACGTAGTTGCAACTCTCAATAAATCCCAAAATTTTTCTTGTAAACCAAATGGGTCTTACAACCATATCAAATCAAAAGGGTCATTTATCCATTNATTTTCACTTTGAATTACTTCTGACTTGATTTCATTTTTAAATACGTAGGTAGTGTCTAACATTTACATTGGACACAATCGCAATTTCAAATCAACTCTAATTAAATTTCTAAAATATAAGAACTACAATTGACTTGAATCTATTTCGAATACGTAGGCAGCATGGTTAAACTAGACGTAGTTGCAACTCTCAATAAATCCCAAAATTTTTCTTGTAAACCAAATGGGTCTTACAACCATATCAAATCAAAAGGGTCATTTATCCATTTCAACTATGATGGATATTTTATCCATTCAAGATATTTTATCCGTTGATCTTACCCCCAAAATAAATTTAACCTTTTTGAACTACGAATCGACTTGATCCGAATAACAGATACGTAGAGCAACCTAGGCAACTAACCTAGGTCCAATTGCGACAACAACCTCAAACTGACTAATTTCACATCAAAGAGAAGATTGGCCCTCCCCACTGGAAAGATGGCCGGTGAATCACTGATCAAAGAG